TGATGATGATGATGATGTGATGATGATGAGATGATGATGATGATGATGATGTTGATGATGATGATGATGATGATGATGATGATGATGATGTATGATGATGATTGATGATGATGATGATGATGATGATGATGATGATGAGATGATGATGATGATGATGATGATGATGATGGATGATGATGATGATGATGATGATGAGATGATGATGGATGATGATGATGATGATGATGATGATGATGATGATGATTGATGATGATGATGATGAGATGAGGAGAGGAGAGGAGGAGGAGAGGAGGAGGAGGAGGAGGAGGAGGAGGAGGATGCCCCCTTTTTTGTGCAGCATCTCCAGCTATGGCATCTGCAGCGATGGCTCCTGCAGTGACGCTGGTGCGAGCAGCGCTGGACTCGAGCAGGATCCGCGAGCAAGAGAGTGTCCCAGAAGACTCTGAGGAAGCTTCATTGGGATGCCCTGGGTGTTGAGCTTGGAGAGAGGGCAGAAGGACGGAGGGAAGGGGCGGGGAAGGCAGGGAGGCTTGAGCTTCGCGAGAGAAAGAGGAAGGGAGGAGGGCGGAGGGTGGGAGGGAGGGGTAGGGTGCAAGGAGAGGGGAAGGAGGGAAAGGAGGGAGCGCCCATGTTGGTGGCGAGGAGTGAGGGGGGCAATAACAGGGAAAGCTGAGTGAGGATCGCAGGTTAGAGTAGGAAGATGAGGACAATGAGCAGGATGATGAGTACGAGGATGAGGATGATGACGCAGAAGACCAAGACATGGAGAGGAGGAGGAGGACGAGGAGGAGGACGAGAAGGAGAAGGAGGAGGAGCAGCAGGAGGAGGAGGAGGAGGAGGAGGAGGAGGAGGAACCAAGACATGGGAGGGGAGGACGAGGAGGGAGGAGGAGGACGAGGAGGAGGAGGATGAGCGCAGGAGGAGGAGGAGGAGGAGGAGGAGGAGGAGGAGGAGGAGGACGAGGAGGAGGAGGAGGAGGAGGATGAGCAGCAGGAGGAGGAGGGAGGAGGAGGAGGAGGAAGGGAGGGGAGGAGGAGGAGGAGGAGGAGGAGGAGGAGGAGGGAGGAGGAGGAGGAGGAGGAGAAGCTGGAGGAGAAGCAGCTGGAGGAGGAGGAGGAACTGGAGGAGGAGACGCTGGATGAGCAGGAGGAGGAGGAGGAGGAGAGGAAGAGGAGCAGGAGGAGGAGGAGGACGAGGAGGAGGAGGACGAGGAGGAGGACGAGGAGGAGGAGGACGAAGAGGAGAGGAGGAGGAGGAGGAGAGGGAGCAGGAGGAGGAGGAGGAGGAGGATGAGGAGGAGGAGGAGAGGAGGAGGAGGAGGGGAGGAGACTGGAGGAGGAGAGGAGGAGAAGAGGAGGAGGAGGAGGAGGAGGAGAGGAGGAGGAGGAGGAGGAGGAGGAGGAGGAGGAGGAGGAGGAGGGGAAGAAGGAGGAGGAGGAGGAGGACGAGGAGGAGGAGTACGAGGAGGAGGAGGAGGTGGACAGCCCGGCGGATGAGGAGTTGGATGTGGGTGTGTAGGAGATGAGTTGGAGGATAAGGAGATGAGGTGGCTGTGGGCGTCGAGGAGGAGGAGGAGGAAGTGGATGTGGGTGTGGAGGAGGAGGAGGTGGCCTGGAGGCGGCTGGGCTGAGGGGAGCTTGAGCGGTATGGCTGCGGGACGCGTCACGCCAAGCCG